GTAGTTACAGATTATTTGAAAAATCCAAATATGTAAATATTGTTTGTCTTTGTTGTTGTTGTTGTTCATTCTTTCCCAGCAGTTAGCATGGTAATGTGGGCTGCTTTGATATCAATCAGGAATTTGTTTGTATCCTGTCATTGCAAATCGGTAACTTCAAACTGTGGATTTTGTTATAAGCCCCAGACTTTCTTTCCAGCCAAACTGCTCGGCGGCTATGGTCCCGTAGTTCATCAAGAATGCTTTAGGACTGAGAAAACGTAGATGTGCTGGAGTTCTCCCTTCCCAGAAGGCACAGATAGCTTTTTATTCTTACAGAGGTCCTTGAAGGTCATGCTGTGCTCTGTTTTCAACTTCTCTTTTGTAGAAGACCCTAGAAAGTAAAGGCTTTAGGGCCTTGGTGTGGTATTAACCTTCTCATATAACTGTGGTCCTCTAATATCTGGCTGCAGCACCCAGCTCCGGTATACGGAACATTAGTAAGTAAGGAAGGACTGGTTTTGCTTATTTGTTTGATTATGATTTTCGGAGCAAGGTAATGGCAAAAGATGAGCATTTGTATGCAATGCTTCACATTGGCCATCTAGTCTTTCCTTTCCTTTATCTAGCTTTAAGATTAAGAGATTAGGGTGCAGCAGGTAAGTCTGTGATTAAGTCTGTGCAGATTGCCGTAAATCTGCAGTTTGGAATCACAGAGTCCAAGGCACTGCAATGCTCGCAAGGCTAGACCTGCTGCAGATACCGAGCGGGGAAGGATGCCCGCCTGAGGGCTTACACCATAGGGAGCTGCTGCTGTACCTGTGCGTGGGGTGCGTGACCCAGCAGCACCTGCCCTGGGGCTCAAGGGACGCTCCTCCTGCACTTCCTGATGTGCAGCTCGTCCTCAGCACAGCGGGCAGGAGCCAGACTTGCCTCTCTCGAGACTGGCAAAATTGTCTGCTCCTCTTGCACAGACTGAAAGTTGGGGTGGTGTCACAGCTGGGGCTTAATTCCTGTAGTTACAGCTACAAGCCACAGCGTAGCCCTTGTGCGAGGAAAAAGCAGACCTTGCAGAGCACATCTCTCTCTGCTGCCTTCTTTCTAACTGCTGAACTATGGTGCTTGGGGATATAGTTTCCTTTGGAATGGTATGAGGTAACTAATCCAGGCAGGCAGCCCGACTCAAATCTGAGGTCTGCAGGAAGCCATTCGACACACCAGGAAATGAAAAAAAAGTTAGATAAACTCTGTGGGTCAGTCAAGCAGCCTTGTGTTAGCATGGGAACAAAGCCAGTAGGTTATTTGCCTTTCAGTTAAGAAAACAGTAGTTCTCAAAATAATACACTCAGAATACTATAAACTTGTTTAAAAATGGAATACTGCAAGACCTCGCCTGCTTGCAGTGAGCTCCTCTGTGAAACATGCAGCCAGAGCTCCTCTGCCTAGTAGGGAGACAATATTAAAACCAAATGAATAACTTACCAGCCCCAGGTCATTTGGGATAGATTTATTGCCTGCTGTGGAGATATTTGTGCAAGAGAGAGCGTGTTGAAAAACTGATGTGGCTAAGGCTGTTTGGCTCACAATCTCTGATGGGCAGTGGGAATTTCTCTCCTGGAATTTGTTAGAATTGGGCTTTCCTCTGATCAGCTCCCGCCCTTTATAGGTCCAGCCACACCACACACAAGGAGTTAGTGTTTCTGTGAACTATTTCAGGCTCTCTGAATTCAGTCTCATCCTCTTCCAGGTCTGTTAGCACTGTTGTATTTTTCCATCTTTTCCTACCCTTGGTCTCCAGTCTTACTGAAATTATGCAGGTTTTTGCATGCAGAAGAGAGTAACAAGTAATGCAACTTTAGACTGTTAATTATCAGTTGGCATTTCATAGTTCTCAGGAGATAAAATATATTTTCCCATTGATCTTCCTGGGCTATGTCATTGACCATAGATGTGGGGATAATAATATTTTCAGATCAGCAATGAAAGGATAGTTCTTTTTTCAAATAGCATATCATAGAATCATAGAATGGTTTGGGTTGGAAGGGACCTCAAAGATCATCTAGTTCCAACCCCCCTGCCATGGGCAGGGACACCCTCGCCTAGACCAGGGCCCCATCCAACCTGGCCTTGAACACTTCCAGGGATGGGGCATCCACAGCTTCTCTGGGCAACCTGTTCCAGAGCCTCACCACCCTCACAGTAAACAATACTAATGTGATACATGTCATACCAGTGGCTGAGTAAGATTTTGTTATCAGTCCTCAGCAGTTTGTGGTTATGGTGGTCTAAAGCTAGTACAGAGGTGGAAAATTTGGAGGAAAATATTAGGTAGCCAGGCAGTGGGCAAGTTCTGTCAACAGTTCCCCCATCTGCAGCAGACAGGATAGTTTGGGAGTTCCTGAACCTGTAGCTGTTGAATATGGTAGAGTTAATACTGGGAGCTGGTAAAGCTGTTTTGGTGCAAACCTCAGCATAGAGTTACTGTGAGAGACTTTTCTTGGGCTGTTGTTTCCAGCAATATAAGGAATAGGTTTGGCTGAAAACAAAATGAGGACAGGAGCCTTGGAAGAAGTTACTTTTTTTACTTTCTTTTTAAATAAGTGGTGGTGGTGTTTTTGTTTTTTGTTTTTTTTTAAGTAAGCCAACTATAGGTATTTGCAAATCACACCACTTGGTACAAGCACAGTCCCTGATCAAAAAACTGTGTGAAAAGAGGTCTTACTGAACAGTGGAAAAACTTTGGGAAGCTTTCCCTGCTACTACTGAATGGTGGGCTTATCTGTTCCCTTTGTCCCCTTGCAATATTGACATGACAGAACTTCAGTAATAAGTTATCTCCAGCTGTTGTTGGGTGGTCTGACATCTTTGCACCTTGTCTCTGCTTAAGGGCAGGATTATTGGTGTTAAACGCGTCAAGGAAGTCACACTGATGGCACCTGTGTCCCTGACCGAAATAAAAAGTCTAGCAATAAATGAACTTTGAAAGAGCAGTATTTGATGATCTTTTTGAAAAACAAAATGTTGTGCAATAAGAAGAAAATTATTAGCAATTTATTACTGCTTTGTATCAGGATTTCCTTGTTTGATATAGCATCGGTTTATGACAGTAAAAGCTGTAGCATGCAGTATATCACTTTGCATGTTTTTTTTGGTCCTCCTTTCTGTCGCTGAAGAGACAGTGCCCCAAACTGGCAGTGAGAAATCATGCTCAAGGAAAAGGAAGTAAAGTGTCGTACAGAGCATTCCCTTGCTGGTAGTTCATAGGAGCATTTTCTCTGCTCTTGCCATGGCAGAACTGTGTTTTGCATACACACATGCACCTGGAGAAGGCTGGAGAAGCATCCCCCACCCACCTTCCTCCAGTGTAACTCTCTAAAACAGAATGAAATGGGGATAAAAGAAGTATGTGGTACACAAGATTAAGATTACATACTCAGAAATCTAGAGGTAACCAACCACCTCCAGAGTCATCCTGGTGACTTGAAAAAAACCCTCAACATTTGATGGAGGTTAAAAAAAACCAAACCAACCTTTAAGCACTTGGATCTCAAGCTGAACTAAGTGCTGAGATCACACCCTTGTTGTTTGCTTGGCCCAGAGCAGAGATTGCTCTGTCTGGACTGAACAGGAGAGCATTTTTGCTGTTGCACTCATTGAAGATGGGGAGGAGCAGGGCCACCACTGCAGCTGTCCTCTGGGGAGAGAGGGACCAATTAGTGTTAGTCATAGCAAGACTTCTGTCCCCTACCTATGTATTCTTGTCTCCTTCATTGTACCTGCCCTGGGGATGACAAAAGTTGACCAAAAATGTGGGAGTTTGGCTTTTGTGCTGCTTTTTCCAAATCTGAAAGCTCACTACGGTCTCTGAGTTTCATCTTGCACCTTTTATTTTTGTTATAGTCTTCGCAGAGAAATGTTCTGAAGAATATCAGAAATCTGTATGTATTTACACAGGTACACACAATTATCAGTGAGGAAGACCAATAAATTCTCTCACACTGAGTGTGGGGAAGGGACATTTGGCTTCTGCTTTGTGTCCCCTGGTCCCTGGGTCACCGTCTCATGCCTCTGCAGCTCTGCAGCCTCTCGCTTGGTCTGGGACTCCCATCTGCCAGGTGCGATGGGCTGATGTAGTATACATTGCACTGAAAAATGTATTGCACACAGCTCGTACCTGTCATGGTCCAACATGTTCCCTGCATCCTGCCATGTGACCACATGCAAACTTTTAACACACCTGGAGAGCAATGAAGAGATCTGATGAGAAATTTGCTGTTTATTTACATGGGGAAAGGTTCAAAGCAATTTAATAAGAGAAAATGTTGCCTGCTTATCCAGCCCTCTTTCAGATTAAAGTTATCACAAAGAACCAGCTGCTGTTAGATTGTTTTGCTTATCGTTATATCACAGGATTATCTGAAATAGTCCTTATTCCTGTTGCAGTTATGTGTCATGCACATTGTAAGTATTGATACCATTTTTGCAAGTGTACAAATTTTTTCTTCCTACAGCCAAAAACTTTCTTTTTTGGCATTTTTTTTTTCTTTAGGCTAGGTTTCTCTCAAAGTACTTGGCATAATAAAGAGGTATGTTTGCTTTTTATAGGTGAGATGTACCATAAAGGTGCTTAGATAGTTTAAAAGTTTAAAATGCATACAGTTTTAGACCCATGCAAATTTTAGGATGCACATTTCAGCAGGCAGGCAAACATTAGATTCATTCATATGTAATAATGAAGAATGCTTAGGAACAAGGAATATTACCTCCTTGGCCATTGCTTGAGTGTCCTTAGCCCAGAATTTGACAACCTGCTCAGAACAAATATACCCTTTGCCATCCCCTCCAAATAATAAAAAGAATGTGTTATTGTCCTTTTTAATGTCTGTCCAACTGTTTTTCCCCTCATACTTGGCTTCATGCATTCCATTGCTTATATGCAGAAAAAAAAAAAAGGAAAAAGAATAGGTCTTTTGGGGCAAAGGGTCAACCTTTGATAACTGAGAATTTTGTGTTCTCGTGTAATGAAAATATGCTCTGTTGTGTTTCAGTTGCTTATATTCTTATGTGTATTTTAGGGAAAGTCACGCTATTTTACGGGTATTTCCCCTTCAACATGGAATCCCTTAGTCTATCTGGATTACAATAACTTTTGGAGGACCATGGACAAGATGGGAACAGAGGTAGGCTGTGTAAATTGCATCTGTTTCCTACAATGCTCATGTCACCATGAGTAAATCTGGTTTTGTTTTGTTTCTGACAGGCTTTTTTATTACTACTTTAATATTAAAAAAAAAAAAGAAAGAAAGAAACATCCATCAGGAAAGAGATCCAGGTTGCCCAGGACCTGTCAGGAATTACAGGGCTTCCTCACTGAGAGGAGGTTGGACTAGATGACCTTTAAAGGTCCTTTCTAACCCAAACCATTCTATGATTCTGTGATTCTATGAGAAGATACAAAAAGATCTGGAGGTGATTAAGATATCTGAAAAAAAATGAAGTTGAACTTCAGTGTATGTACTGTACTTTCTCATGCCAGGGAAAATCATTCCATGAGCTGGGAGATGAGAAGGGTTTTTCTTCTTCCCCTGTGACAGCCTTTTTGAGTAAGGATGATTCTTTCTTTGTAGCTGCCTAAGCTGGGCTCCAGGTTGGCTTCATAGTAATTTTATTTCTAAAATTTGTAAACAGTAAATGCTTTCAAAATTCAAGCAGTACAACTGCAGATCTTCCTGTGTGCAAAAAGTAGTCCCTGGAGTGTCATGCTGTCTTTCAAATATTTATCAGTTGCCTTATAATCTGGCTACAAACCAGGGGCCCTACCTTATAACAACCTTCAAGCATAATTAACTGTATTCCTGCAAAGTTCATTGCATTTATGTGGTTTTGCAGAATCAAATTTGTGCATGATACTACACATGTTTTTGTCAAATAATACTTTTTTTTAAAGATTCATATATATGATAGTGTTCTCACATGTCACAGTACTTATATGCAATGGATTATTATTAAGAATTTAACTGTCTAAAAATAATTTAATTGTATCTAGGCATTTTTGCTCCCTCTGTAGTTAACAGAGAGACATAGGGACCTTCGGATATCCATCTTCTAACTGACTGAATCTCTGACTGGAGAAAGAATTTTTGCCTTAGCTGTTAGAGGACACCAAGACAACTAAATTAGAATAAACACCTCATTTCTGGATGACTAACAGCCAGATGAGTCCCAACATATGGATATAGTTCACTGGTCAGAAAAAGCCGGATTTGGTGGTCATGGTACAATTCATGCCCAAAGGTGTGAATGGAAACTATTCTATTTAGTGACTTTATTCCAAATTTACAGCCATGTGCAGGGGACAAAAGCAGCTCCTGGCCAACATATCAGTCAACTCTGTGCTACTAACTAGCTATGACCAGGCAATGATATAGTGCTGAATAATTTCTTGAATATTTTGCTTCTGTCTCCAGATTCCTCTTGAAGCACCATGGGACGCTCCACATGCTGAAGAATGGGACAAAATGACCATGAAAGAGCTGATAAATAAGATTTGCTGGACAAAGTACATAACTCTTTATTCAGTTTGAAATCCAGCTGCAGAATGATATTGACTCCCTGGAAAATTCTGGGATAACAGCTGAGTACAGCTGGGGTACAGGCGGTGAGAGAGCAGGAGGTGTTTGAGATGAGGCTGGTCTTTGTGATGGGCTGTTGTCAGGCGGTGGGTGAGGGCCTGCGGAGGATAAGGTGGTACGCAGAGCTTGGGTTGGCTGGCAGACGGGATTAAAGGTGCTGGAGAAACCTGGGGTTTGCCTCAGCAGGCCAGTGCACACAGGAATGAGTGACAGCGTGGGGTCTTCCCGCCATGCTTTCACTTGACTCAGTTGGACAGCATGTGTCTTCATCTTCAGGAAAAGCAACATGTAAATAAAACTCCACTTTATAGGCATGAATAAAGGTCACTTGCAGGCACAGAAATGGAGGCAGAAGGAAGTCAGGGGGCTTCCCCAGCCCCATGGCAAGCTAGGAGCTTAGGAGTGATGTCCTCTGACTCTCGGCTATGTCCTCTCCTGCGCCGTTATCGTATGTGTCTGCTTTTACAGCGTGAGCTGCATTGAATGTACCATGGAGCAGGCAGGTGCCGCTGGCACATCAGAGAGCAGCACGCTGTGCCAGAGAGCATCTGCTTTCCAGTGGTCGCTCCATGGATTGGGCAGCACAAGACCCAAGGAGGGGGAGGGAGCAGCTGTTGGCTCTGGAAACTGGAGAAGTTCAGATGCTGCTCCTTGTTTCAGCCATAGTGCCTGCTGGGCCTCCGAAACCCTTGGAGCCGAGGCAACCTTTCTTGTTGCCTTTAACCTCCCTGGCTGGTTTGTGCCTGAGCCCGGTTGGGAACTCTGTGTTCATTCCAGCAAGCCTGTTGCTGCGCTTGCTCAGCTCAGCCCATTGCAGTGCACCCTCCTTCTGCTTCTGGGAAGCTGTCCTTGAATGCCAGCCAACTCTCCTGGGCCTCTTTGCCCTACAGGGTAGTTTCCCATGAGAAGCTGCTAAGCAGTCCTTGAGGAGGATAAAATCTGCTTTTCCAAAATCCAGGCTTGCAGTTCTGCTGTCTTACTGCTCTCAGGATCTTAAACGCCACAGTCTCATGGCCACTGCAGCCAAGGCTGCCTATCACCTTTGCAGCATTCAACAGATCTTCCTTGTTTGTGAGTAGCAGGTCCAACAGAGCATTAATCCTTGTTGGTGGGAAGAGGGCCCAAGATGATATACTGCCTAGAAAATGGCCAGTGTGTTTTATATGTCTATGAGGGACCACACTGTACGAATAAAAAAAGGCACAGTGTTCAATATGGGTGACGACAACTGGAAACACACTTTTCTTCCTTTCCTTTTTCAATTAATTCTCTTTATCAGGCAAAGAGAGTTATGCTCATACGAGCACTTGTATCCCTGCTTGCTGTGCCGGCCCCTGTGCTATTCTACAACACTCTCCTCCCTTGCATTCAGCATCTTTTATTTCTACGGCAGTGCTCTGTTTGCCCTTTCACTCTGATTATGTTTTAGCACTGTGCCTGCAGCTTCCTGACCAGAACTTTCCTTTTGTAATTATTTGGCTGGCTTAAATCTTGCTCCAGCTCCCTGTGATACAAGGTACAGCCATTTGGACTTTCTCTTGCTCTCTGTGGCATTGTAGTCTTCTTTATGATTAGTTTTATGAGCCATTTGCCTGCAAACTCTATCACTTTGCAACAGCCTTTCTGTTGCAAGTGCACTGGCTCTTCCTCTTCTAGTTTTTACTGTTCTTCTTAGTCAAGGAGCCGGTGGAGTATAAGCAGAGCTGTGTTTATAGTGATTGCTTCTGTAACATGCTTCTCTGCAAGACTGCTTCAACTGCCAATGGTTTTGTGGTGTTCCGGTTTTAATGGATGTGCTCAGCTGAAACATGTTCAAAAACTCAGTAAAAAGCCATTTTAGATCTTCAAGCCAAGCCAGATTTTTCTACGTATAGTTAAAAACCATAGTGCCCTAAACAGAAAAGCTCTTCCGCAGCATTTTCTATATGACTTGGGTCAAGATTGTAAGAGAAGATTTGTTTGCCATGTGTCACAGATCAGCATCTACTGATCCTGGAGACTCTTCACATTTCTCAGGCCTGAACCTGCTACAACTGTTTAGTGTCTTGGTGCTTTCAGGATTGTAGCAAAGGGTTCCTGCGTGCAGGATGTTTTCATATCCTGGCTAATGAAGTAGAGGTGACTGGACTTCATACCCACGGAAATGAGGTTATAAAAGTTTATAAGTTAGGTATTTTAGCCCGGATAACTTGCAAAGTTCCTTTCTTTAGCAGATGATTATAAAACCATGTTGTTTTATGAAACTTCATCCAAGTCAAAGACCTTTCACCTTCTTTGCAAAATTATCTCAATTCTCTTAGCAATTTGTAGCCACAAATGAAAGAAATATGAATAGTCAGGTACTCATTTCCTGCTGGTGTAACTCTATGTTCAGAGGACTTACTGTGGTAGACAGCTGACCCTCTCCTTACATTTATAGCCATGATTGCCAATTTGGTTTCGCTGGGTTATTTACCATGTCTGATTCTTGGTTTCACGAAAGGTCTGTGCAGCAGCATCACATGGGAGATGGGGAATGTCCTGGCTGCATGGTTAGTTTAGTCCCTCAGGACTCGTCAGACTTTGGAAGTGATGTGCCTGATGAGCTCCCCGTGGAGGAGAAATGCAAAAGAGTTTCACCAACTGGTTGCTAAATGCATTCTCCTGTTGAGAAAAATATTTGTCCTGATGAAAGCAATAGCAGCTGGGAACCTATTTAAAGAAATAACTAAGGTGAAACCAGTGGGATTTCAAACTGAATGGCTAAATGCTTTGAGAGGGTGGTGCTGATATAAACCCATTGAAACATTTTCACTACAGACTGAAAAATGAGATAGATATAAATAATCTTGCCTTTTCTGACTTTGGGAAAGCAGTCCTTATCAAGAATAACAAAGAAAATCCTGTTAGCAGTCAGGAAGTCACATTTACTCACTGCCAGTTTCTGCTCCTGTGTCTTCTGCAGAGCTGTTAAAGAATTTGCCACCTTCTTTGTGAATGTCAACGTCACGTCTGAGCCTCATGAAGTCTCTGCTCTCTGGTTCCTGTGGTACGTGAGGCAGTGTGGGGGCACAGCCAGGATTTTCTCTATCACCAATGGGGGCCAGGTACAAAATGTCTCATATTCTTCCTCCTCTCTTGAAACCATAAAGAGCAAGTGGAGTGTTGTACCCATCAAAGCCCTGCAATTAATGAAAAGAGGTTCACGTGGCACCAAGTTCATATGGCACCAGAGACAATTATGTTCTCATGGGGTGGAACAGCCCTCTCGACTAACTCTGTACAATGAGGAATTTTATTAGTTAGGCTTTGGGATAAATTGGGACAATTTAATCATTTTTTCCCCCTACATTCACTTCAGCACAGTTCTTTTGTGTCTGTTTTGTTGCTTTTTTGCCAATTCGTTTTCTATGGGTTACTTAGCACATTTGAGTGTTTTCAAGAGTTCAAAGCAAGTGTACTTCAGAGTGAAATACAGTTTTTTGGCATTGAAGCCTCTAATGACAAGAGTTGGAAGTAGATAGCAAAAGGCCCTTTCTTCCTGGGACAGCTCACATGGCAGCATGTTTTATGAGATACTTCAGACTGTTTCTTGCCTTGGTCATGGCAAGTGGCTGGTTGCCTGCAGAACATCATGATTTTCATGTGATTGTTCCGGATGAAGTTCCAGAAAAGGGGAGAGGGGGCTGTCAAAGTAATTTGTATGTGGTATGTTGGTACCCTTTCCTAGCCTCCTACCTCAGTTAACATAGCCTCAAAAAGCACGCACAGCATTTCAGATTTAAGCTACCAACAGCAAAAGCGGAGACAGTACAACACCCTTCCAAGTGTGCCGAAATAGGGAGACATTAAGAAAAGTTATCTGGAGAGATACAAAGTCTCCATCAACATTTGTCCATTGGGATAAGAATAGACAGCCATGTGTCAGGAAGGATGTAAGTCGAGCTAATGCTGACCTGAGGGAGGAGCCAGACCCAAGAGCCTTCCTCCTCAGGGGCCTCTCTGCCACATTTGCTGTCCCACGTAAGCAACTGCTAGACATTGCAGCAAGAATTCATACTAAAATGAATCCCAAGATACTCATAGCTGAACAAGACATGTGGAGAGGGGAAAGCTAGCCTGGGAAGAGTGCTTCCTTTTCTTTGTGCCTGGATGGGGCAAGCTGTCTTGGTTTTTACCATCCTCCCCTCTCTCCTCACCCCAATCAAAATCAATTGAATGAAAACACTCAAGGTTTCTGACTTAGCAGCCACAATGAATTTTATAAATTCAGGCAGCCATTTCAGTCTTTCAGCACAGACTTTGTGGCTTCTTTCCTCCCTGCCAGTACCAGCATCTTATATGTAAAATTGAGCCGCTTGATATAACGCTAGTGGCTGGTAGATGAAAGAAGGTTAGTGCTTCCCCCGGGCCTCTGCACAGACATCGCAAGGAAATATGTGTCCTAGATTGTGCTTTTTCCAGACAACAATGTTTTTGTGTCTTCCCAGGGACAGATAAAGCTCATTGCCTGCCGCACTTGAGGCCAGACCCAGTTAAAGATCTGTCTGGCTTCTGGGCTGGTGCAGGCTTTTGCTGTACAGATGCAGGCTGTTGTCGTTGTCACACATGAGGGTTTTGGTAGCACAGTGATGGGTAAAATACTCAAAACCTCTTTTTTAATGAAGTGATAAGTTTATACTAGCTAGAACACCTGCATTATATGTGTTTGTTCTTTAGGCTTCAAGAGTCTTTAAGCCAGCTAATTGAGGAAGCCATTGCAAAAGTGGTGTAGGCAGCAATCCCCACTGAGGCTCAGGTTTTTGCCTTGGCTCTTCTGAAAGCCTGAACCTCTTTATGCACCCTTAGGACTTGCAGATTTGGCCTGGAGTTTCTCGATTATGAGCAGAAGTCATATTCAATGTCATTGTGATTAATGCTGGTGATTTTTTGTTTGTGTTTCTTTTCTGTTTGTTTTTTAGGAGAGGAAGTTTAAAGGAGGTTCTGGTCAGATATCAGAGAAAATAATGGAATGCCTCAAAGGCAGAGTTAAACTGGAGAGACCTGTGGTCCGTATTGATCAGACAGGTGATAATGTCATTGTGGAGACTCTAAACCATGAGATATATGAGGTAATTTGATCAGAATAAGAGTAGTGTATGCATTTAGTGGGGGAATACATCTGCTGCAGCTCTTAGCCAGATATAATCAGGAAGTACCCATTTGTGTGAGTCTATTTCTCGGACTATGCTGACACTCTGTGAAACTCACAGTTTATTTACAACTGGGTCTCTTCTTGGTGTTCTGCTAGTTAGTTTCTGTCGTTACTCTGCCTTTTCTGCCTTAACTTTTTCTGTAATTATATATTTTTACATTTTAGTTCTGCATTGAGTCCATTTCAAAGAAAGGAAAAGTAACATTCCTGTTCATATGTAAGTTTGTGGTTTGCAGAACAAGAAAAAGACATTTCAAATGTCTGTAGTAAGATTTTGCCTCTGTACAGTGGTGCTGTGAAACGCTCCGTCAGTACATGATTACCTGCAGTGGCACCCACAGGGCAGCAGCTCCCTTTTACACGCAGAGCCCAGCATGCCACAGGGGTTTGTGTGGGAGTGTCACGGTCTGCAAGACCCCTGTCTCACCAGTGGCAGTGCTTGGAAGATATTTTAGAGAAAGCTAGCAAAAAGGGAAGGGGCTGTTTGGCAGAGAAGGTGGTCCAAGGATGTCCTGGAGGAGAAACTAACTGTCTCCTTCCCCCAGGGATTTTTAAACCCTGGAGTTAATCCGCTGGCCTCTCCCTCCATGCTGACTGAGCGGCAGCCAAGTCGGAGGAGATGGGCTTCCTGCCTTCAGCAGCCCCACTCAGGCGTGAGAGCGCCTGAGAGCAGCAGTGTCTGTTGTGATGTAGTGTCACCCTGAGTCCTGAAGCAGAGCATCCTTCATCGCTCTGGTCAGATACAGGACCTGTGAGAGGGATGGAGCACGTTCAGGAAAGCTGAAATCATCATCAATGATGTTGCTTGTCCTGAAGTAGTATCCTGTGAACATGCACGAAAGTTGTTGGGTTTTTTTTTAAACTGCTTATAATTTAGACAGATGTGGGTCATATTTTCCTGGGGATGATTAACGGCAGTTTTACCTATGTGCTGAGATCTGTCTTGTCCCATTTCCCCACCTGTCTCCAGCCAAGTTTCAACTGTGGTCCTGTAGTGTCCAGAAAACTGTCAAGAATCATCTAACCACAAAACAACATGTTTTTCCCAGCTTCTTTTTCTGAAATGGCAGAATTATTTTGGTCACTTGGAAATATCTGTGTGGGAAAGCCAAGTAGCAAAGTCAGGTGTGGGAAAACTGTTAGTGACTAATAAGAGTGTCTTTCAAACGTGTCCTGTGGGGCAAACTCAGTGGGAAGCAGCACCTCGTTTGTATTGACTGTGTTTTACATTTCAGGGCAAGTATGTGATCAGTGCTATCCCTCCAATCCTGACAACAAAGATTCATTACATACCAGAACTGCCATCAAAGAGAAACCAGTTAATTCAGCGTTTGCCTATGGGGTGTGTCATAAAATGCATGGTGTACTACAAGGAAGCCTTCTGGCAGAGGAAGGGTATGTGGGGAAATTGAAGGACTTGGGACCCCCATGCTATGCGAATTTTGAAGGTCTGCTGTCTACCAGGGCGTATATCCAAGGGGGGGTTAAATGTCCAAAACCCCAAAACCGAACACACAGAAAGGTGAAAGGTAAAGCTCCTTAGAAAAGAGAGCTCTTCCTCCAAGCTTGAGTGCGCACCTTGTCCCAAAGATGAGTCCAGACCCCAACAGGATCCTGAATCTCACTGTTGCTAGCTGAGGAGGAGCAACTGAGAGAACAAGCAAGGTTTCCCTGGGAAGCGTTGCTGGAACCTGCAGTGCACAGAAGCAGTGACCCTCCAGCAGCAGGTCCCTGCTTCTCCCTGCCAGGGACAGAGTTAGGGCAGCCAAAGAGAATTTACAGCAGATGACAAGGAGGGCTTAAGGTGTAAGCAAGACCTTTCTCTGGTTTTAATCCTCTGTTCTACAGACCTGATATCTCAGAGGACTGGAAAAAGTAGGTTAACTTTTTGTTGGACTCAAGATATTTTTCCCATGTGCTGCAACATCATGTGTTTCTCAGCTTTAACTGATACTGTTTCCAGAACTATTTGTACGAACAGATTAGTTTCCTCTTCCTGTGTAACAATATTGAGAATTGCACTGGGTGAGACTATTTCTTAATCAAAACAATATAATTTTGCATGTTTCAGGGCATAAACCAGCATTTGGGATTAGAAAGAAATGTAGGCAGGTTTATGCGTTGTGTCTATATGGAATTTTTTGTGTATTCATCTGAAATGTGTATTGATGTGATACTAGATTCAACGGCCCATGGTTCTGCTGCATTACTGTTATGGGACACCATTCCTTATCGTCGGCAAAATCAACACAGGGTGCAAATTAGACCCTGCAGTGACCAGATGTAATTACACTGGGTTTTGTTGCTGCTGTTGTGGTTTTGTCTGAAGTTACTCATGCAATGAACCGTCATAGTTCTTGCTAGATCCATTTATTTTTAATGGTTATTGCACCCAATGTAGAAAGCCAAAGAGAGTTGCAGCAGTCCACAGAAATTCCTTGCTAAGTAATAATGGAATTTAAATATGAATTTTATAAGTCTGTGTACAAAATTTCCCAGAGTCAAAGGGAAGAGAAGAGGGAGACCATTACAAAAACACTTCAGACATGTAGGTATTATTGGTGATGAAGGAATTAGTGTACAATTCCTTTTATGGATAATTTTCCTAGCTCATTACTATCCGAAACAATGATCTTCAACAAGTTCCTCTGACAATCATTTTGTTTTCTTTTCCCCACTTAGGTTATTGCGGTTCCTTCGTTATTGAGGATGAAGAGTCTCCAGTTGGAATAACCATAGATGACACGAAACCTGATGGATCTTTCCCTGCAATTATGGGGTTAGGAGCTTCTAGCCCATACTTACAGATGTGTATTTCTTTTTGTATGAAGGAGTGAGAGGAAGAATAAGAGGGGAAATGGCCAGGTTACGTCAGTGGTGTCCCCTCCCACAGTCTTCACAGATGGAGGAGAACACTTCTGACAAGCCTCTTGTGCTCTCTAGTCCGTATAAGCTTTTAGGTGAAGCTTCTGCTACAAATAGCCTAATACAAAGGAGATGGCTGGGAAGGAGTTGCTGAATTCAGCTGTAGTTCATTTTAAACATTCAGTGTATATATATATGTTTGGTGTTTTTTTTTTTTTTACTGTGGAGTAGATTTAGAAATAAATCTCTTTCTCACCTAGCTTTGTAAGCCTGTATTTGGCTTATGCTGGGCCTTGTATTTAGTGCCGGGGCCAAAATGAAAACACAGTTGTCCAAGAAATCCTCATTTGCCTCCTCTCCCCACTGAGCTGAGGCAGGACAACAAACATCAGCTGGTGGTTGAGCAGAGCAGCAGCTGTGCAATGAAGAAATCGACATTCTGAAGAAACTGCCAAGTAAAAAAGTTGTGGTTTGGACAAACAGACGGGAAAATATGTAACAGCATTGACTGGCTTTTAAAATAGGTTAAACCAACATGAACAACAATCTTTACAACAAACAAATGTTTCCACTGCAATCTGAGGTGAGATTGCCAAAAAAAGTCCAATATAAATTTCAGGCAACTACTCCTTAAATATCTGTCAAGGGAAGTTTGCCACTTCTACTGAACTGTAAATGTTTATGGGCATGTTCAAGGCTTAAAAACTTCCATGACCTGAGAGCCATAAGCCTCCTCTAAACCCACTATGGCAAACAGTTTCCTGCTTTCTCCTTGTGGATTTATGCAACTTTCTAAAAGAGTGCAAGAACATACTTCATCCCCTGGATATCTCCAGTAAGGTCAGATGAACTAATCACCAAATTTGTTTCCTTGGAGCTGAATAAGTATTAATCCCAGTTCTTACAGGACTGGTCCACGACACTGTGCAGTGCTTGTCAGAGCAGCAAGCTCCCATCACTTATTAACAGCAGATGGCACAGGCAGTGGTATGGCCAGCTGTCTGCGAGACTTCAAAAGCTCGAGAAAACTCAGGGTCTCAGCCCTTTTGGATAAGACCTAGGTATAAAAGGGTAGGTGGTGCAAGCTAGTTTGCTGGACGTTGTCATGCCTCTGCCCACTTTGGGTATAACTTTGCTGTCCTGAGTCGGTGAGGATGGAGCGTTTATTCCCACAGAGCAAAATGAGGCCAGTGCTGGCAGCTTTGAAAACACACTTGAAATCTGCAACTTTCTCATCTGGTAGCTGCCAGGCAGTCCTCTATGCCTGCCCCTGGGAATGCATGCTCTTCCTTTCAATTAACTCCCCAGGGTACCCCGCACAGGCCTTTTTACCTGTGCGACCTGTAATTATTGTGATGAGGTATGATGAAAAAATGTGAAGCTCATTATGTACCAGTAAAGTGCTTTGCCTGTCTTTTTTTAGAGTAATTTCAAGCAAGAACTTGCGAATCAGCTGACATGCTGACACTGCATGATATTTATATGCCTTATTTTTCTTTTCAGTTTCATCCTTACCAGAAAGGCTGTTAAACTGGCCCATCTCAGTAAGGAGGAAAGGTAAGAGTTCAGAAACTATGAACATTTCAGAAATAAGTCAGTTTTCTGGGATGCTTCCCCACAGGAATATGTGTGTGAATATGTGTGTGTATATGCATGTCTACACATGCTCAGTCCAGCTACCAGTAATGGAAATTGGGGCAAAAATTGAGCTTTTAGTGTAGACAGGCCAAGACGCTAATGCTAAAATCCATCAAGTTACGGATATTTCTGAGTTTCCAAGTCCTGCCCACTCTTCCATGTTATGACTGATCAGCTCTGTGTCTCTATATGAACTAAGATTTTTCCAAAGACATTCCCAGACTGCATCCCCACTGAATGATGCTTCACCCCAGGGATATGGGGAGTGCTGACATGCATAGTTTTGGGTGTCCTTCACATTCAGACTGGATGGTAAAATTTTTAAACCTCCATGTTTACAACAGTATTGCTTCTCCATTAGTCTGTGAAATGAACAAACTGTACTTTCTAAATGTGATTTTTGGTAGACGTGCAAGTGAAAGAGGAGTTCTGCTTAGAAATGTGCATAGTATTCTCCAGTTCATATTTTGTTCTCAGCTATAGTAAATCTGTAGGGATTTCATTGATTTATATTGCTTCTCTTCTGGTCTTAGACCAGTGAACATGAGAATGAATTGGCTCTGCATCCTAAAATAACTGTACAAAGATTTATTTTTTTAGAGCTTGTTGCCAGAATCAACCTTCATTTCCTATTCCCCGGGTCCATTTTGGATGTCACATTTAGGCATCAGCATTTGAAATATGTATGTTAAGATAAGAACTTGAAATCTGACTTAAAGCCAAACCCAACTTTCTTTCCAATGTGTTGCAATAAATGTGATTTTTTTTTTAATAAGAGCAATAGCTGAGAGGTTTTTTCCATCTTTTTATTTCTGACTCTGATTTTCTTTTCATATAGGAAGAAGAAGATCTGTGAGGCATATGCCAAGGCAATGGGGATGGAAGAGGCTTTACATGTAAGAAATGAATGCCTGTTTTCACCTCTGTTGTACAGTAATGTTGCTCCTTTGTTCTGGAGGATGACGCAAAAATTCCTGGTACCTAAAATGTGTACCTAAAATTGCATGTTGTGCCATACAATCTGTACTCCCAAGGGGAGGGCAGCAGCATCTAGTACAGGAAGAAAAGAGCTGCCAGTCTCACTCTTTACAAGAAAAGAGAAGGCAGTGCATGGTTTAATTTGCCCTGTCATTTCCACATGGGAGACTAGTGCTTCTGTAAAAGTGCAAAGCTTTGTTTTGTGTGGATGGATAGCATTAGCCAGATGACATGGCACTCCTTTGACAGGTATCCTTAGCCTGTTTTTTCCCTCTTCAAAGGAAATTTGGGTTTTATTTCCAATTTCTCTTCCACTGTTTCACTCTCTAATGTTTGCTAATACTTACAGCCTGTGCATTACGAAGAAAAGAACTGGAGCTTGGAGCAATATTCAGGGGGTTGTTACACAGCCTACTTCCCACCAGGCATAATGCATTCTTATGGAAGGTAAACCAGAGAATGCTTTGCTTTCTAATTTGCGTTTCTTAGCTCATATGCAATGATATACCTTATGCAACAAACTTACGGCATTTGTAGTGTATCGGGGGAATGCCAACCCTCTTTCTGCTCCCCTACTCCCCAGCTAACAAGGATCTTGCTACTGACTTTCCTAAGAGCAGAGTGACACTTGTGATTTCCAAGGAAGCAAAGCACAGTCACAAAGGGACCTGCTAGAGCCAGGAAACCTTTCCCTGCTGGGTTACTTACAGACAGGGAAAACCTAATCGGGGGTTAGATGGGAGCCCTTAGAGCAAGCACATCTCTCTAAGGGAAAGGGAGCTCATTACCCGTGGCTGGGTTGACCAGGATGCTTGTGCAGCTTTGCACGTCTGCAGGGGTGGCTTATATGACCCTACGAGGTGAATGCAACTCCCTGAATGCTGAGGCCTTCAGCTGCCGTCCGTCCCCTTTTGGCAGGACTTGCAGCCAGGCAAGTCCAGCCTCCAAAGTGACTCGTCACTTCAGAAACATCATTCGTATCCCATTGTAATGGCAGGATAACAACAAAGCTGCCATGCAGAAGACATAAATCTATCAGCTACACTGCATTTCTGGAGGCTGTTAGGATTATCCCTTACCCCAGCACTAAAATAAGGCTCACATTATTTTGCACAGAAACTGAGTGCACTGATTTCTGCCTTAGATTTTCTTTCTCTCATATCTTGAGTTTTGTGTACAGAAGCAAGTAGATGGTCCTGCAGGGACAGCTTATTGCACCATGCTCCCCAGCCCAGGTCTGCAGGAATTCTGGAGAACTGAAGTTGAGTGCTCCATCATAGCCCATAAATTGCTTTGAGAAGGATCATCACCTTCCCGTTACTTGTCATCTGACATTCTCCATTTGTTTTGAAGGATCATTCGCCAGCCCATTGACAGACTCTACTTTGCTGGCACAGAGACAGCTACCCAATGGAGTGGATACATGGAGGGGGCCGTACAGGCAGGAGAAAGAGCAGCCAGAGAGGTACAGACCATTGGTTTGCTTTCAACATCTCTATTAAAAGGTTAAAACGGATTAAGTACAGCTTGGATGGTCTGATTTCATACATCACACCCTGTAATTGTGCAGAGGCTCCTAGAATTGATGGGGAAGAATCCCAGAAAAGGATGTGAACCAAAGCCTCCTCTTTTTTTTTTTTTTTTAAACCTTTACTTTGCTGTTGAATACAGTAAAGCCATGAATCTCACCCAAATCAGAACCTTACTCAGCCTGTTGCTGCACTGGAGACTTAAAACAAAGCTCATGCTGTACACCTCATGTCTAGAAGAAAAAACCCTCCAACCTGATGCTGCCCTTAGATATACTACCACAACTTCTAACAAATTAATCACTGTATGTTTTAAAAGTAATTTAAGTCATTACAAATGCTTGCAGCTATTTCCTGTGCAGCAATCTGGAAATCTGAGCATTGTTCTCATTTTTGATCTATCCCTTCTGCTTCTCCTTTGACAAGAGAGTACCGTTAGCTCAGCTTTATGAATTTGTAATGGGCGGCTCTGATAATGTCTAAATCTCCTCAGAATGACATGCATTGGGCTGGGTTCCCAGTCACAGTGAAATCCCTTTACAACAGTCTGGAGGGAGGGAAAAAACCCATTAAAGGGTGTACATTACAGTTACAACTGCTGTATGGCACAGCCACACAGCTGTTATTTAAGGGAAAATCAGCCCTTTGCTTCTGTTTGACAGAATGTCATATTCACCTTATAATCCTCATCACTTGCTCTGTTTCAAGTCACCTAACTTCTCTTTTCTCCATGCCTGTGAGCAGTATTTACAAAGATGGTTAGCTGCCTCTTCTGGAGACATTCATTTGCCCCCGAGAACCTCCATGACTGTTACAATCAGTTTATTCTCAAGAAAAATCCTCGATGAGCTTTGTAATGCCTGAATAGCCAAGAGATAACTTCATAATTGTATGCTTTGAAAGCCCCAGAGTTCTATCTCTCCTCTTTCTAGTTTGTGATCCAAGCAGCATCACTCCTAACAGGCTTGTTGGAGTGCGTTGGTGGTAACCTCACCTTGCTATTTCTCACACTGTCATGTGAAAAAGCATTTTTACTTTCAGTCAGAAGAAAATTTAAAATAAACATCTGGAGAAGCTGTAGTTCATGTGGATTTCTGTGTGAAGTCCTAATTTTTACAAATGATTCTGTGAAACTGTCCTTTTATCCTTAAAGCACTGATTAGGCACACAACTGTTTGATGACCAGCTGTCGTATATTTACACAAACTACCAAAACTGCCTCCTCCTCCTCTCTTTGCTGATACAAACAGAGAAATCACTATACATTTGCTGGTTCAAAGCACTTTTGGCTCATCATAGTTATGCCTTTTATCAATGTCACCTTGCTCTGACTAGCTCTGCTTTTCCAAAACTGAAAGTAGTGTGGTTTTTAATTTTTTCTCACATAGGACAATTTTTTCTTCCAGATATTGCACAGTATGGGGAGGATCCCAGAGAATGAAATTTGGATGCCAGAGCCAGAGTCGAAGGTAAACCAGATTTTCTTGTCACCCAGTCAGGCACACACCCCTCAGTCAGGCTGCAGTCCCTCCTTCGGCAAGGTTTTGCTTACTTCACATGCTGATGGTATTCTTTTTGGGTTTTTTGAGTCATCCGAGGAATATCGTTACCCCTGTCTGAGGGGTGGATGGCTAGAGCCAGGGACAAGGATCTCAGAGCCTTGGGGACTGGAAAATGCAGGAAATCAGCCAGTTCTGCCCAGTCCCAGGCCATGGTTTTAAGCGAAATATAACCTCCCTCCAGTCACAAGTTACTCCACTTCACTGTCCTGTGGACAACAGAAAATAGGTGTTTCACAGCCCTGACCCTCCTCCCCACCCTGATCTGGTCCCCCATGATCTCCCCAGTGTAGTGGGAGACATTGGCCGCCTCTCCATTCACACAGTGAGGGAGACCCTGTGGTTGTACCATCTCCTCTCTCCCCCAGGATGTCCCAGCCCGACCGTTCACCACCAGCTTCTGGGAGAGGAACCTGCCATCCGTGCCGGGACTGCTGTGCCTGCTTAGCTCTACCCTGTGTTTCACCTCTGTGGCTGCTGCGGGGCTGTTTGCCTGCAAAAAAGGACTACTAATTCGAAACTAGTGGGGACTACACGTCCAGTGGAAGCTGCATACTCCATCTTCTTCCCTTTTACCAGATGAGTGTTATTTTTGGAGAGAAGTGGCACAGACAGCTGGAAAGGGCAAAAGTTGTTCTCCTTGTGATTTTTCTTTTTAGTACCATAATTAATGCATCAAATCTACTGCAGTTGCTACCAGCAAAACAGAAATAAATCAATGGCGGGGGGGGGGGGGGAGGGGAGTGGTGACCAAGTTTGCCTTTTCCTTGTCCATTTGTTTTGATTGGACATGATAATATCCATGGTATATTCCTTAACAAAGGGAAGGCAAAATGCATATCACGCTTTTCCCAAAAGGCAAAGAGGCCTTGGAGAATGCATTCATTTCCACTCGCTGCTTTATGTTTTTACCACACAAGATAATAAATGCCCTTATGTATTCACCTTGGTTAGCGGCTCAGAATATCCAAGGCTATTCCCATAACATCTCTGCTGCACGGAAGAGATTAGCATGCCAATCAGACGTAGAATCGCCGAATTAATTTTCAAATGCATTTGATTGATTAATTATTAATCATCACAACGTGAAACTTAACCAAGAGCTGGTTGAAAAGAGGTAATTAGCACGAAGCAGCTTGCTAAACGGCAAGAGAGGAAGCGCGGGTGGACTTTATTCTGCCCGCTACTGAGCAAACACCCGCGCTTATCTGTTCTGCAGGGCGCCTGCGTTGGTGCGGCACAGCCATGGCGCAGCTCTTGGTTGCTTCCTGGCCTGAGAGCATCCGATCCAGCCCAGCCATTCGCTGTTGAAGTGGAATGAAATGAATTAACAAAGTTAAAGCCCCTCCAACTTGCAGCAGACGCTAGCTGTTATTTTCCAAACGGCAGCAGCTTCCTGGCTCCCCGTCAATTCGCTGCCCCTCGTTTTGCTCATAATTGGTACCGCCTTCCTCCAATAAGGAGAAATATATTTGGGGCTTGAATTACTGCCTTGTAAATTACAGTAATTGGATGCATCTGCCTGTTCTGCTCTTATTATGGACATGACACACTTAAAATAATCACTTTAGTGTTTAACTGACGTCTGGAATATATGTTTCACAACGTACCATCATGCGGTCTTTTTGCCATGAAATGTGAGCATTGTATGTGTCCATGAACTCAACTGTCATTCAACATGGGTGAAACGTGCCTTTCAATAGTCCTGAAACCTTGATAAGAGGAACTCTTCTATAAACTTTTCTTCAGATTCTTTCTCGCGTTGTTTTTTGTGAATTTGTGGAAGGTGGTGGTTCTCTGCACATTTGTTAAATCACTAGGTGCATCACATGCAGCAGCCACCAAACCCTTGCTCTGCCAACAGAAATACCTACCTACCCACCCAAGATGACTTCGCTCCTGGCCTCTGCTTGAACCACATTCATATGTCCTCTCACTTTTTTGTACAAAAGCCTTGTAGGCACCATAAGTGCAGACCAATCTCAGCCTAGGTGCTGGTGGGCTCCAAACCAGAAGCCCTTTCCATAGGGAAGGGTGCTTCAGGCAGCCTCTTGTCATCAGATGTGAGCAGGTTCTCAGGGTGCCAGTGTTAAACACCACACAGAAAAGGTCGTACAGACAGTACGTGTCTCCTGAGCTACTTTGTTCATTCTTCACAATCACTCTGTGTGAGGATCAGCCAGCCAGGACCAGTTTCTCTGGAGGGAAAAAAGCCTGAACACATTATTTATAAGAAGAATATCTATGTTTTCAGCTTTCCTATCTACTTTGAACTTATACATGCACTTCAAATTACCCCTGAAAAGGAGACAATAATCTCAGTAGGAAGCAACAATGGTGGATTTTGAACACACTGAACTGTAGTATTAAATGCTTGTTTAAAGGATTTTTGACAGGTCATTTGACAGGTCAGAGTAACATCCACCCTAGGAATATTTTAGGTGGGGGAAAAGTGGCCAGCGTGAATTGCTGTGACTCATGGGCTCCCTGCAGAGTATTTCCCCCCCAGCTCCAGCCATTACTGAGCAGGGATTCCTGTGCGCCAGGACTACCCCGTGCACGCAGCCCGGAGAGCCACAGTGCCTGCCCCAGGGCTCCTGCAGGGAGCACAGGCTCGCTCCTGACAAGCCTTTTGTGGTGTGAAATGGTTCTACACCATTACATACTTCCCCCAGAGGGGGATATTCCCACTGCCTGAAAAACACTGTCCATATCTGTTCAAAAATATGCATCCATATGTGCATTTGTGGCAGTTAGAGCTGTTTATTTTTGCGCTGACTTGAAATTTGACATCTGACTTTCACAGCTTTTGTGTGCCTGTGCAAAAGGGATCCCAAATCATCTGGAATACACCCACAGGCCAACACCAACCATCCAGATTTGCTTTTCACCTTATCCACGCACATTTCTGTTGCAATTTGTTTGGGTTTTGAAGTGCAATTTCTATTCGGCTGAACTAGTCTCAAACTGTTAAACAGGGCTGGGTACAATGTTCCCGGCTTCGCAGGGGAAAAAAGCACGTCTCACTGCTGTGGGAGTGGTAAACAGCAAATGAAATGAAAGAGGTTGATTAAAATTGGCATTTCTGAAACTCCTGCAGCTCCCACGCACCACGCTGCTGCAGAGAAAGGGCAGCGTTTGTCAGAGATTGTAGACCAGTTTCCATTCTGCTTTAATGCCCTTTCTGACAATATCAGAACAATTTCCCTGTTTAAACATTAAACATTAAGCTTAAATATTAAACAGCCAGGCATCTTTCTTAAACCAATTTTGAAACAGAACGGGACTGAGTTTATCACCACTGACAACTCTCCAAGCGAGCCGCTGCCGTTATTAAAATCGTGAGGCTGCAGCACCGTGGAAAATAGCTCTTTCTGCTGAGGACCGAGCGGACTCCTCACCCGGGCTGTGGGGTGGGAAAGCCTTTGGTGACCTTTTCTGACCAGGGATGCTTAGTGCCTCAGTTTTTTGGAGGAAGAGCCCTGTACTCCCTTGGCAGAGGTGGGAGATGCTGTGTCCAAGGTCCACGCCAAGTCCATCAGCTCCAGGGTGGGAACAGAATTGCATTGATACACCTGGGGAACAGGAAAGCCTCAGGTGAAAAAAAACCTGCTGTTTGATGCTTGGAAATAAAGATCAGAGCAAGCACTGGCAGAAGGAGCAGCAGAGGAAAAGAGCAAAAAAAAATAGACTAAACCTCCATACTAGCAGTGAAATAAGGAGCACCATGGAGCAGATAGATCAGTTGGTCCAAAATAAGCAAGTGGAGATGATGCATATGAGAGAACCTGCCTCTTTTTTAATTAAATTGCTGGTTTTGCTTATGGATACCACAGTGGCTGTGCCCAAGCCCCTCGCAGCATGTCACATAATAAGCCTTTCGGCACCTTTGCAAGCCACAGAAATCATCACCGGGGATGGGAAAACGCTCCTGTGAGACCCTCATGGTTCCCACCTTCCGCTCCCCTCGGCTGCAGCTCCTGCCTGTGCAGGGCGGCACGGCTGCCCCCTCCCTGGCTGCCATCAACCAGCCCCTTGGGGACAGGGACCTTGAAATAGGACGGCTGCTGGGACAGGCAGGAGGTGCAGGAGGAGAGCTGCTGGCTGGCTTTTTTGCACCATCAGCCCAGGGAGGCTTTCTGTCCCTCATCACCTGCCCGTCTGTCACACAACCCCCAAAATTCCCGGCACAGGACCTGACATCCCAAACCGTTTTGGTTGGAAACCCACCATGTGAGAGGTCTGGGAAGGAGCCACCATTATGAGGAAGAAGCACCAGGTTGCAGAGGCTGCATGTTTCAGCGTGGTGGACGTGAACCTCCCCCGGGTCAGGCAGCGTCTCTCCAGCTGTGCTCCTCGCGTGGGGCAAGGAGGAATCTGTCTGACCAGATCCACCCGTGGTGCTAAAGGTACATCCAGCCTCAAAATCCACTCTGGGCAAGCAAGTGGCGCAGCCTGCGCTTGGCCTCTTTGACAGTCGTTCACCAGCAATACTTTCCAGTCCACATTTGATCCCACCCCCATTTTCACGCTTGATCCCTTTTCCCAGGATCAAACAAACCCCCAACCACTGGCACAAATTAGTATTATATATTTGAATAAAAATACCACCCACAGGGATGTGCCAACGTTGCACGCTCTGACAGGCTGTAATGTGCTGGTTTACCACCAGTCGGTTCCCACATCCCATTGACCAGGTTCTGCTGCCCGACAGCAAGGGCTTTCCCCAGCCACAGACCATGCCGGGAACAAGCTGGAGGCTGGTCTTGTGTTCTCTGCGCAGACCTCAGCTCCCAATTCCTGACATCAGCATCAAAAAATGGAAAAATGGACAATTCCAGAGAGTCCTCTTCCGTGGAAACATGATTTCAGTTGGTTCTTTTCTTTTCCTTTTGGACTGTTTCTCTTCCACAGAGCTGTTGGAAACAATTTTGCTTTGTAAATGATCCCTGCAAGAGTTGCTTTCCACACACACACAGAGAAAGCAAATTTCATTTTGGTGAAAATCCAGAAGGGGAAATTAAATGTGCTCTTTGTTAGTGAACTGTAACTTCTTTTCCCACTCAGCTCCTGCACTTGGCAATCAAGGCTTTGGGCTCCAGTTGCAATTCCTGTTCTGCTCTTTATTTGTAGCACTTAGCTTCCCAGTTTCTGTTCTCTGTTTCTCACTCTCTTTGGGTTTGTGCATTGGTTGGGTTTTTTTGGTTTTGTTTTTGTTTTTTTTTTAACTCATCTTACATAGTAGACACAGAATAACCCAGGGCACAAAGGAGAAAAAGTTTCCTGAGTGCATTACTTATGAGAGGAAAGGGACGCTTTAGCAGAGCAGCGCTGGCTCCTTGCTGGGTGCCCGAGGTCAGCAGTGCCTCCGAGCTGCCCGGCTCCTCGTCCAGGGGTCCCAGGAGACGTGATGTGCCCCGGCCTATAACCATGAACAGATCAGACAGGGGTCTGAGTTTGCACTTGTGACCTTAATAAGCACAAGACAATATAAGACAGATGTCCTTTGCCATCTCTGTCTTACCACTGTTACTCTTTCTCTATGAAATGTAACGCTGAGCTCCGCTGACACTCACAGTGCAAGACAGCTTCCACTCAGGATGGGGTTGAAAATGAAGCAAGGGATGTAATTACCGTTTGTGTTGGGATTCGGACTTCCATTGCCAGACCCTTCACTTGAAAACTCCTTGGATTATAGCCTGAGCACCATTATTTTCATCAAAATATT